TGGACTGAGAATAGTCCACCAACCAAAAATATCCAGTTGACAATGTCCTGTGACCACTGATGAAGGACAAGAGAATGTTATGTTGTCCTATCTAGTTTGCGTCATGTGCATCTTTTGTTCTCTGTATTTATTTATACATTGTCATGTATCTGCACTTTATATAGTCCTGTGTAATGTCCTACTGTTGTGTGTTGCACCAAGAGGCCTGAAGAATGACATTTTGCACCAATGTATGTAATTTATATTGGCATGACAATAAAGATCACTTGATTTGACTTGAGAGAAACAGTGTAAAGGCAACAGACTCTACATATTCTCCTGAGACTGCTTAAACACAGAGCAGACTGCCTTAAAGGACCAGCTGTATCTTATTTCTAATGTCCACTCTTTCCTCTAAAGTGGACAACTTCCACCCATAATCCCCACCCCCACCCCACACCCACTGCAGATGTAGTAACTTGGTCAGTGTGGGTTTGTGTACTGTGAAACAATGCACTACAAAAGAGGAAATGGCAAGTGTTGCAGCGATTCAGAGAAGACCATGTCACTGTGGGCACTTCTGCAAGGGGATGCATGAGGAGAGGAAAAAAGAGACCACTGTGCCTATGAGGACCTGGAGCACCCCGAAACTGTCGCTGTCCGAGGTGCTGAAAACCTTCCCTGCATGCAGGCCAAAGCACAGACATTTAGGGGGCAGGTGCACAATAGAAAAGAGGCAACATGAACATGAATGAAACCTTATTTTACTTTACAGTATTCTGCAAGTGTTCTTATTAAGAGACGGAAAGAAATCATTTTTCACCAAATGTCGAGTTAACAAAAAACAAAAACACTAGCTTTACACCCCAAAGTGGGATTTGAAGCCCACTCTCCAGCAAACAAAACTAACATTTCCCACTATACTGTCTAATTGGTATGAAATGAAGAGTTATAACTGTATTTAAGAACTGTGCACAGCATAAAGGCCTGTCTTATACACTAACAAAAATTTGGTTTAGCAGGTTATTTGGACCTGTACCTGCCCACATTGACCAACAACCTGTATTCCTGGGCCAGGCTAAACCTCATCTCGCTAAAAGGGATTTTGAAGAACGGCCATATGAAACACAATTATTACACATGCCGACCAAAATATCCCTTATACAAGTGCAGGGGGTCATGAACCCCTTGGGGTCTATCTGTGGACGTGCCTGCCTTTATGCGAGATTAGCACTGCTGTTTTGGAGTTTTTGTGCCCATCTTGGAAAAAGAGCGAAGCCTTTAGAGTTCAAAAACAAACAGCATTAAAAACCACTCAGCAACACCGATGCCCCTACTAAAACATCTTCACTGCTCTGGAAAAGTGACTGAAAAGCTGAGATGTGAACTCAATCAGCGACTCTGGCTAGAGTCTGTAACCCAATTCACATGTTGCTCTGACTGACTCGAATCGAACGCATGCTAAACTGATTTGAAACTCAACTCAGCCACACGCTAAATTGACTTGTGACGCGCACCTGACTGACTCATGACTTGAGTCTGAATCTCACTGAACTGTGCATGTAACTCGACTACGACCAGGGCACTTCAACATTCCAGTCCAGCTCGTGCTTGCCTTATCTCATAGTGGCAGAAAAGTCAAAACTAGCTCTGGCTCTGGAGGTAATTATGGGAGCAGTAATTCCTGTAATGCTGTTCACTTTGCAGCTCGCAGCAGTGTTAGGTTGATGTGACTTTGAAGTACTAGGGATGCATCAATACAATTTTTTCATACCTTACTGAGTGACCTACTCAGAACTAAGTAGTTGTTAGCGTAAATGAGTACAGTGTACCTTAACAGTTAAATCATTCACTCTAGCTGATTTTAAATAAGGTGCATTTGCTGGCTATGCTACATTAGTTACCTTGTACCGCATCTGTACAGCTGTAAGTAAAGTACATTTCCTAGATTTGTTCCCCTGCTCCTCATCTGTCTCTTTCAACAACAGTTTCTGTAGCACAGTGACGGCAGGAATCCAAGGCTAACGCATCTGAGGAGCTCACTTTTTGTGTCGATCTTTTGTTTGGCTTGTTGAGCTGTAGTCGAATGTCCTCTAAAGCCAGACATACGCTGTGCGATTTTAGAAATCTTGTTTTTTGGTGACTCACATTTTATGTTTAAAGAGTCCACTGTGTACAGACAAAACCCTTGATTTATACACTTACACTGTACAAAAATGCCAGGTACGATTGACCTGCTACATGAAATGTACCCTTTACAGACAGCTCTGTCTATAAACAGTTTCAAATAAAGCTGTTTCTTTCAAAATAAGACAATGCATGTCTCAGTACCAAGCAAAAAACTGAGCTACAGCAGCTCAACTAACCACACTGTACACTGAAAAATACATGGTAGAACTATATGGTCTCTCTATATCCTATTTTACAATGATAGTTTAAAATATCACCATATTAAGATTTATATCTTACAGTTCTATTCAATCAAACAGAGTAAACACAGCATATATGGACTTATGGACAGTAGCAAATTTTGTTTTGGTAGCCTATGTGTCCACCTGTATAGGAAAGTGATTATGATTCCATGGGTTTAAAAATGGACTAAAATTGCACTGTCTGTCTTGTGAGATGTGTAAAGTGACCAACAACTTTATGTCTGAACACCAGGGAGTCAGTTAACACTTCTCTGTATGAGCAGACCCTCATTCACTGGATTTCTTCATTAGCATAGCAGCGAATATCAGACTTATATCTAATGGTATCAGCTGGTATCGGATGTTGGTATCAGCACATTTTTGTAAGTGCGAGTATAAGTAAATGAACATGGTATCGGGCCAATACCTGACACCAATGTTGGTATTAGTGCATCCCTACAAATAACCAGCTGTTACTGGAAAAAACATCTGTCTCAAGATCAAAACAAAGCACTACTTGCAGTAAATGCGGTGCTTAAAGTGAAGGGCTCAAACTATCAATACTTAATTTACCTTTAGTTGTCAGCTAATCTAGCCAAGGTTTATGAAGGTTACTGATCACATTCCTTTAAATCTTAAACTTCAGCTAGATTAGCTATTACTATAGCTATCATACTTAGAAACTACGGACTAACCAACTGTTTCAAGTTGTTTTGCCCCTTTATTTGAAGCAGCAAAGGTACTGCATGTAGTGCTTCAGTTCTGTCCATCAGCCTGAAGGTTTTTTGTATCTTACAGTTAGACTTAGACTCAAACTCACACATCAGAGATGTATGACCAGACTCACACCCAAAGGCTCCAGACTTGATTCAGACCTGCACCCCAGAGACTCGAGACTCAACTCAGACTCGCACCCCAGATCTAACATAACATAACTCGCTTCCCAGAGACTTAAAACTCACTGCCAACTCAGATTCTCAAAAACATACTTGGGACTCAACTTTGTGTTCTGACCTCAAACCACCATCCACTCCTGACACTCAGGCTTCCATAAATCGTTGCATAAATAATGCTACAGCTTTTATATACTATTGTAATATCAACACACTAAAGCATGGACCACATTGACACTGAATTGCCATGTGATCACTTCTTTTTACCACACGAGAAACAAAAAGAAGAACTAGTAAAACCACTGAATGGAGGGATGTCAGTTTTTAGAAAATCACATGTTACCAAACTGGCTGACAAGGTTTCAGTTTACGTATTCAAAGCTATATATGGAAACCTGAGTTTATTAGTTGGACTGAGCTTATTTAAAAAGAAGTCATGTGGTCTGCAGTCATTGTGGTTAAGTTAAAGGGCTGCTTTCCAAACATGGATTTTGTCTTATGGGAATGTGTAATGGGTTATACCTGTTAAAAAGACCTTTTTATAATCATCATAATGATAAAATGATTTGTTTAAGGAGTGATGGTCATGAAATTTACACTGCTAGACTTTGCCATGGCCACCTGAGGATGAGTGCTGAGTGTGGTAGCAAATACCATAATAAACACACAATGCAGCAGTGAGGTCAGTGTTGCATTACAACCTTTATTGTTGCAGCACTACAGTAGTATAAAGAATAGTCAAAGAGAGAAGAAGAAGTAAAAAGTAAACTTCTCCTCCTAACCCCCAAAATTGTGGCCTCCTGTACTGTGAAATGATGCAGAACAAAAGAGGAAATAGAAAGTGTTGTCATGTCTCAGATGACACCATAGCACTATGTGTGGTTTTCTATGTCAGAGTGTTGACGAAGCCATTAAAAGACGGAACATTTCTGCTGAAGCTGATTCTCTCCCAGCTCCTGTGAGCTGCACGGACATTAGAGTGGGTTAGACTCCAGTGAAGAGCTGCTGAGAGAGCTGTGTACTCAGTGTGGTATACAGGGCTAGTGTAGTGCTGGGTGTGGAGCTGTCAGTGTGCTGTGAACTCAGTGTTGTTTTACTAGTGAGGATGTTGCTGACTTTTTATCTTCTCTTCATCGGGCTTCACGTCTCTGAAGGTGAGGACTTCTTTATTTACTTTTTAAGCTTCTTATGGTCAGTTTTCTGGGCTGAGATGAGCCTAGTTATGGACTACACTGTCCTCTCAAAATCTGTATGCCGCAAACAAGATGAAGCAGGATGTATGTGTGAATGAGTCCAGAAAATGAGCTGCCCATGATGCCCTGGAGACTGGTCAAGAAGCAGCTGTGGTATCTGAGACAGAGGGACAGAATCTGTAACATTACTGAGCCAGGGGCAGGGAGAGGGTAGGGGCAGATCCTGGGTCAGGGAGAGCATCGGTGGCAGAGCCCAAGGGTGCTGGGTCAGCCATAGAGGCCAGCTGAGCAGAAGACTAGGAGACAAGCACAGGAACGAGACAGGGAACTAACACTAGAGGAGTCTGTGACATAATCTAGAACAAGACTTAGTCTCTGTCCAGGAATATAAAACCATGAAGTTTAAAATGTTCATTTCACATGTTTTAATTCATCTGTACAAAATTTGCTAGAATATTTTAGAACTGGAAACTGTTATTTGTATATTGTAATAGATTTGTCTTATTTATATGGAGATGGTTTGGTAGGATGATTTTTTTTAAAGAAAATATATTGGTCTCCCTTTTGACTTTGATTTTATTTTGAATTTGCTTATTTGAATTAAAAACAATGTTTCATGTATTTTAAAACTATAATATATAGAATATGAGACAATGGGAGCCTGTGATTAACCTGATCTTACTGATGTGCGTTTCTAAAGGCTGCGTTCTGGAAAACAGGGGTGGAATATTGCCTATCACAGCACGTACAGGAGAGTCAGTACTGCTGCCCTGCTACTGCACTGACCGCATCTCATCTGACACATTCAGCTGGGAGAAACAGAACACAAACACAGATACATGGGAAGAGATATCCAGCGATAAGGACCAGCACAGAAACAGAGTTCAGCTGGTTAATGGTCACTCTCCAGGAAATCTCTCTCTACTCATATCAGACCTGACTGAAGAGGATGAGGGAGATTACAGGTGTGATGTTGAAGGGAGTGGATACACAGACATCAGACTCACTGTTAAAGGTAAAACACTATATGAACTTTATTTCTAGTGCAATGCAAATCTCAGAACTACATTCAACCAAACTAAAATAAAGCAGCTAAATTGAATTTTAAATTCTAAATCTATTTTGCATAATGAAACAAAACTCTGTAGATATCTGAGTTTTCCCTCTTCACAGTGCAGAAAGACTACATTTACTCAGTGGCATCATGGCACAGAAAACTGCTAAATCTCACACATAATCTCATTTTCCCACTGTGTGTGTGTGTGTGTGTGTTTGTGGTTTTTGTAAAAGAAAATATATTTTATGACTGTCGGATCATAAAATACCCTGGTGGTGTACAGCTTTAATAGAAATATGAACAAAAGCACTGTTTCACTATTCAAAGACATTAGAGTGTGGTCACTTCAGAGAAGTCCTGCTGAGAGTGCTCTGTGGTGAGGGTGTGCATACAGTAGTACTAGTAGTAGAATTTTCTTTTTCTTCTTTCTCATGAAATGTAAATTTAAGTGCTAAAAATTATTTAAGGTTTTTTATTTGCAAATCCAGACTTCCAGATAATTTCCAGATCATTTTCTTTTTTTTGTCTAACCATTTTGGAGATGGAAGCTTTTGTTCTGACAGAAGCATTATGTTATTTATCTGCCCAAATCCAGTTTTATATTGAATATTTAGCAACTGTTTTATTTGTTATTGTTGTCGTTGTTGCAATTGTTTGCTTTTGGCATTTGTAACATTACTTTCCCTTTCTTTACTTTACTGATATGTGTTTCTACAGGTTGCTTTCTGGAAAAGACTGAAACAACCCAGAATATCACAGCACATAGAGGAGAGTCTGCACTGCTTTCCTGCTACTGCACTGGCCTACTCACCAAACCTGAGACATTCACCTGGAGGAAACAAAACACAAACACAAAAACATATGAAGAGATATCCAGTGAGAGTGGTCAGTACAGAAACAGAGTTCAGCTGTTTAATGGTCACTCTCCAGGAAATCTCTCTCTACTCATATCACACCTGACTGAAGAGGATGGAGGAGTTTACCTGTGTGAACTCACAGGATATAAACGCACATACATCAAACTTACTGTTGAAGGTAAAACACTGTTATGATTGGCAGAAAAATCACATTACATATTGTTTAAATGTTCAATTCACACTTTAAGGGTTTATTTTAACACTACAACACTGTTTTTAGTATTAAATTGTCAGTGTTAATGACACTAAACAGTGTTAAAAGAACATTTGTGTTGTTCATATTTAACACTTTGGAGCATTTAACTCTCCTGTTGTTTCTTTTCCAACTACAGAATCTACAGTGAGCTGTTTGCTGATGTTCTGTTTCTGCTCTGATTATCAAACCTTTTCTCTCTACAGAGGGTCCACCTAAAACAACGACATCTACTGCAACCACAAGTTCATTTCAAATGACTATTAGTAAGTACAGCTTTCTCCAGTTTTGTATTTTCACTGGAATGATTGATCTGGTCTCTCAACATTCTGCAAAATAGTAAGAAGTCAGTTTAATTCAGAATTTACAGCTCTCCAAACAGAAGATCAAGGGAAATATTGCTCGGTTTAATATCTAAATTCCCTATATGTTAATGCTGCATTTAATCACCCTTTTCAAGCACATCAAACGCACATTTATAATGCTATATAAGGCATTATGTACTGAAATGAAATTTCCTAAACATTTAAAAGTCATTCATAAAAATATCACTAGCATACTAGCATAAACCTTTATGAAGTGTTATAGGGTGTTACAGCAAAAGTTCTTATAAACAGATATTATCTTACTTTATGAAGTCATATACTCTTGCTTTATAAAGTGTTATGTATGTTATTATCAATAAGCCTATGCACTCTATCCTAAGACATTTAGCACTTCATAAATGCCTGTATAACCATGTTTACAATGCATTATGAATTGTTACCATATAATACCATATCATTATATACCATGCCATTACATACCATATAATGTCTTATGTGTGAATTATAATGTGTTATGAATGTCTTTATAGGTTATTTTAGTAATCTTATCAACCTAATCAAGAAGTTTTGGTAACACTTTCTATGAATGTCGCATTTGTAAGTATCTATAAACACATGTATAATATGTTATAATGTATTCATAAGACATTATAAATGTGGTTATAAATATTTATAAAAAAGAATTACACTGAATTACACTTTATAGCCATGTTTATTATACATTATGAATTGTTAATATAATGCATTAGAAATAGTGTTAATAACATGTTATAATGTCAGTGCCAAAGAAGTCAGTCCCAGCTTGGAGAGCGTAAAGTAAAAACAAATACCAAGCTAACGGTGGTGTAAATTGACTTTCCCACATTGGGTAAAACACTGATGGCAGCTCTAGTTTAAACTCTGACATTTGAAGCCTGTAATGTGCTTTATTGTGAATGTTTTAGTGTTTCAGTAAATCCTTCAGTAAATACTTCAACTTGAAGCCTCACTCTGAACACTGGAGGAGGCTTTAGTACAGTACGCTTCACTTTACTTAGAGCGGACAAATACGACTTATGAGCTCTTATAATTTGTTATGATCAGTACTTATAATGTATTATGTTAACAATTCATAATGCATAATAAACATGGCTATAACGTGTAATGCATTTTTATAAATATTTATAGCTATGTTTATAATGTCTTATGAATGCATTATAACATGTTATGAATGTGTTTATAGATGCTTACAAAGGTGACGTTCATAGAAAGTGTTACCGAAGTTTCAGTGTCAATGTCATAATCATGTTTATAATGAATGCATTATAACACATTATAAATGTGCTTATAGATACTTACAAACATTCATAGAAAGTGTTACCGAAGTTTCTACTGCACTCTGGCAAAGACTGAAAGACTACTAAGTATCACAGCACATATGGAAGGGTCAGTATTGCTGCCCTGCAGAGATAATTAGATGTTTTTTTGCAGCTTCTCCACAGTCTCTACCCTTCGTCCCCTTCGCCTTGGTGACTGTGATCTTTCTCCACATTATAGTAGCTGTGGTTTATCACACCAAGAGAAACAAAGGTACAAACAATCAAAGCACCGTGTACAAACTAAAATTCCTGTTTTCTTTGTTGTGTGAATTCAATTCTACTTTCTCAACAGCTCAGTCAGATCCTGCCAGAGTTCACTACAGCATTGCTGATGGAGATGGAGTGGTCAGTCTGGAGTAGTGCAGTCCTGCAAAACTGGTATGGATTCATCATGGACAATTAGCAGGCAAAATATCTCAACATGTTATATGATTATTTCATATTGCCATATGTTCATGAAATTGCCCCCTGATTCTGTCCATATAAAGCCTAAACCATAATAACCATCTGTTGAACCTTTCATGATGTTCTTGTTGTTATACATAAAATCATATACAAATGTTTTGGCACCTCACTGAAATATAAGCTTTATTGATTTTCTAAGAGAGAATAAGTTAACACATCCTCTACAGAGAACAGGCTTCTGTGGGGATGGGTGTTGGGGTTTCTACGTGCTTCTGATAAACTGGCCAAATGTTTGTGGAAATAAATTCTGTCCTAAAATGTTCTATTTATTTGTATTTCATATTAAGTGCTTTTTAAATAAAAGCTGTTATTAAAAACAGTTTCTTTTGGGTACTGCAATAATGGCTAATGTTTGAAGATGTGTGTGTAAAATGAAGTTATTTTGTAGCTTTTCAGCTGTACATTTCATATCCCTTGTTAGCTATTTGCAGTGTTTCAAATCTGCCCCTTTATTAATTTATTTTTACCTTTCGTTTACATTGTGTATTGATAAAAGTCTGATTGAAAGAAAATGAATTCAATAATCACACATTTGAATCAAAGCAATATTTTTTTTTCAGGGTGAACAGAATCAGACGTATCAGAGTATCTAGTAATACTTAATTTGGAGTGGTCCTTTGTGGATGATTAATAAACTCTTAAAAGATTATCAGTAAAACATCAACAATATCAGTGAAGTAGCAGCAGTGAAGCATCTGAATATATTGAAGTAAATATCTTGTAGATGTTCTGTTGAGACTTTATTTACATTAAGTAGATGTGTTGTTACTTCCATTATGCTAAACCCAACCTTACCCAACACCTAACCCTGGCTGTAATCCTAACCTTAACCTTAATCTCAACCCAGAACCTAATCCTAAATCTAATATGTTTCTGGCATGTTACTGAGAGTGTGTTGAGTGTTTGTTTCACCTAAAAGGACCACTCAAAGTAAATTGTCACCAAGAACCTACATGATCAGATTCACATCTGGTTAGACCATGTGTACATTTGTAGAACCCTTTGAAGTCTGTAATGTGTAGAACATTGATCAAAGTTTCAATTCTGATTTGGGCCATTTTCAAATGTGGAACTGAAATCTGACAGGTATCCAATATGTGGCAATACAGCCTCTTACAGCACTGTCAGATTGGCTTTTACACCAATCCAACTCAATCTTCATCTGAACTTCACATGCAGTAACACATGCTTTACAGCAATGTCATTAAAACACCTGTTACCATGGTTACGCTTCACATCTTCACATTACACAAACTATAAAAGTTATTGAAAATCAATCTTGTTCCAAGGATATTTTAGAGACAAAAGGGAGAAACAAAAATGACAAAGGAGTTTCACACGGATCAAGAATCTTTATCCTGTATCACCATTTTAATAAGATGACCAACACAAACAGTGTAGCAAGAGATGAGCTGCTGTCTCTGACTTTACATCTACAACATGGACCAACAAGGTAGGAATGTCTATTAGAGTGGACAGTAAGTGGACACTGTTTAAAAATTCCAGCAGCACTGCTGTGTCTGACCAGTGCAACACACGTTAACACACCACCACCACATCAGTGTCACTGCAGTGCTGAGAATGTTATGTTGTTCTATCTAGTTAGAGTTGTGCATTTTTGGTCTGTATATTTATTTTTATATTGTCCTGTATCTGCACTGCTGCACTTTATATAGTCCTGTGTAATGTCCTGCTGTTATGTGTTGCACCATGAGGCCAGAAGAATGACATTTTGCACCAATGAATATAAGTTGTATTATGGAATGACAATAAAGATCACTTGATTTGACTTGAAAGATACAGTGTGAAGTTAATCAAACTCTACATATTCTCCTGAGACTGCTTAAACACAGAGCAGACTGCCTTAAAGGACCAGCTGTATCTTATTTCTAATGCCCACTCTGTCTTCTAAAGTGGACACTCAACTTCCACCCATAATCTCCACCCCCACCCCACACCCACTGCAGATGTAGCAACTTGGCCAGTGTGGGTTTGTGTACTGTGAAACGATGCACTACAAAAGAGGAAATGGCAAGTGTTGCAGCGATCCAGAGAAGACTGTGTCACTGTGGGCACTTCTGCAAGAGGCTGGGGATGAATACTTCATAGAGGTGAGGCATGAAGAGAGAAAAAAAGGGACCACTGTACCTATGAGGACCTGGAGCACCCTGAAACTGTCGCTGTCCGAGGTGCTAGAAAACCTTCCCTGCATGCAGGCCAAAGCACAGACATTTAGGGGGCAGGTGCACAATAGAAAAGAGGCAACATGAACATGAATGAAACCTTATTTTACTTTACAGTATTCTGCAAGTGTTCTTATAAAGAGATGGAAAGAAATCATTTTTCACCAAATGTCGAATTAAAAAAAACAAAAACAAAAACACTAGCTTTACACCCCAAAGTGGGATTTAAAGCCCACTCTCCAGCAAACAAAACTAACATTTCCCACTATACTGTCTAATTGGTATGAAATGAAGAGTTATAACTGTATTTAAGAACTGTGCACAGCATAAAGGCCTGTTTTATACACTAACAAAAACTTGGTTTAGCAGGTTATTTGGACCTGTACCTGCCCACATTGACCAACAACCTGTATTCTTGATCCAGGCTAAACCTCATCTCTCTAAAAGGGATTTTGAAGAACGGCCATATGAAACACAATTATTACACATGCTGACCAAAATGTCCCTTATACAATCTGAGTGGGTCAGATTGGGGTCATGAACCCCTTGGGGTCTATCTGTGCGCATGCCTGTCTTTATGCCAGATTAGCACTGCTGTTTTGGAGTTTTTGTGCCCATCTTGGAAAAAGAGCGAAGTTTTTAGAGTTCAAAAACAAACAGCATCCAAAACCACACAGCAACACCGGTGCCCCACTACTAAAACATCTTCACTGCTCTGGAAAAGTGACTGAAAAGCAGAGATGGGAACTCGAGTCAGTGACTCTGGCTCAAGTCTGCAACTCAGACTCAGGCCACACTCGATTCGCATGTTGATCTGACTTGCAACTTTTGCGATTTTAGACTCAAATCTTAACTGACTTAACTCTTAACACACTTAACTGACTTGTGACGCGACTCGGCCGTGTACCTGACTGACTTATAATTTGACTCAGACTCTCATTTAACTGGCACATGACTTGACTACGAGTAGAGCCCTTTAACATTCCAGTCCAGCTCGTGTTTGTGCTCTCATAGTGGCAGAAATGTTAAAACTAGCTCTGGCTCTGGAGGTAGTTATAGGAGCAGTGATTACTGTAATGCTGTCCATCTTGCAGCTTGCAACGGCATCAGGTTTGATATGACTTGAAATTACAAGGAAGTATCAATATAATTTCTTCAGACCAAATACAAGTACATAGTTTTAGTAGTCTACTGATACTAAGTCTGATACCATACTGAGTGACCTACTTAGAATTAAGTAGTTATTAGTGTAAATGAGTACAGCTTAACAGTTAAATCATTCAATCTAGCAGATTTTAAATAAGGTGCATTAGCTGGCTATGCTACATTAGTTACCTCAGATCGAGTAGCGCTGCAGTGGAGAAGAGCGGGTTTTCTTCAGAAAAGTGCATCTGTACAGCTGTAAGTAAAGCAGATTTCCAAGATTTGTTCCCCACTCCTCATCTGTCTTATTCGACAACAGTCTCTGTAGCACAGTGACAGCAGGAATCACGCCCAAGGCTAACGCATCTGAGGAGCTCACTTTTTGTGTTGTTGGTCTTTTGTTTGGCTGGCTTTTATTGAAAGTCCTCTAAAGCCAGACATACACTGCGTGATTTTAGAAATTTTGTTCTTTGATGACTCACACTTTATGTTTAAGGAGTCTATTGTATACAGACAAAGCCTTTGATTTATGTATTAAATTATGTATGCATAAAGTATGTATAAAAAATGCTACCTGAAATGCAGCCTTTACAGACAGCTCTGTCTATGAACAGCTTCAAATGAAGCTGTTTTATTCAAAATAAGACACTGCATGCCTGAGTACTGAGCAAACATGCTGAGAAACTGAGCTATTGCAGCTCGGCTAACCACACTGTGCACTAAACATACATGATAGGACAATGCAGTACCTTTGCATCATATTTGACTGACAATTTAAATTTTTTTTTTTTTCAATTTTTTATGAGTAGGAATACAACTGTGAGTAAATGAACATGGTATTGGACCGATGCCTGACACCAATGTCAGTATCAATGCAAACCTTCTGTTTGAAGGCCAAAACAAAGCACTACACACAATAAATGCAGTGCTTAAAGCAAAGCTATCAAAAGTTAATTTAGGTTTAGTTGTCAGATAATCTAGCCTAAGCTTTTACAGATTCCTTTAAATCTTACCAAAACCTCAGATGGATTCATATAGCTAGCAGACTTGCAAACTACAGACTAACCATCTGTTTCAAGTTGCTTTGTCCCTTTATTTGAAACACCAAAGTTACTGCATGTAGTGCCTCAGTTCTGTCCATCAGATTGAAGGTCTGTCTGTATTGAAAGGCTCAATATTTAAAGCTGTGTCAAACCTGAAAGGTGAAGATAATAACTTTGGCTGAAACTCGCACATCAGCGATTCATGACCAGACTCGTATCCAAAGGCTCCAGACTTGACTCAGACTTGCACCTCAGAGACTCAAGACTTAAGTCAGACTCACACCTCAGAGACTCGAGACTCAACTCGGACTTGCTAAGATCAGAGTCACCGACCCAGAGACGATCCAGAGACTCAACTTGGACTCACACCCCAGATCTAACATAACAGAGAAATAATAAAAAAAAACTTATTGCCAACTCAGACTCTTAAACCCATACTTGGGACTTAATTTTGTGATCTGACCTCACACCACCAGCCACTTCTGACATTTGGGCTTCCATAAATCGTCGCATAAATAATGCTACAGCTTTTATATACTGCTGTAATATCAACATACTAAAGCATAGACCACACTGACACTGAACTGCCATGTGATCACTTCTTTTTAACACGCAAGAAACAAAAAGAAGAACTAGTAAAACCACTGAATGAAGGGATGTCAGTTCTTAGAAAATCACATGTTGCCAAAACTAGCTGACATGGTTTCAGTTTACATATTCAAAGCTATATATGGAAACCTGACTTTATTAGTTGGACTGAGCTTATTTAAAAAGAAGTCATGTGGTCTGCAGTCATTGTGGTTAAGTTAAAGGGCTGTTTTCCAAATATGGCGTTTGGCTTATGGGAATGTTTAATGGGTTATACCTGTTAAAAAGACCTTTTTACAATCATCATACTGATAAAATGATTTGTTTAAGGAGTGATGGTCATGAAATTATACACTGCTAGACTTTGCCATGGCCACCTGAGGATGAGTGCTGAGTGTGGTAGCAAATCCCATAATAAACACACAACACAGCATTGAGGTCAATGATGCAATACAACATTTATTATTGCAGCACTACAGTAGTATACAGAATAGTCAAAGAGAGAAGAAGAGTTTATAAGGAAAAAGTCAACTTATCCTCCTAACCCCTCAAAATTGTGGCCTCATGTACTGCAAAATGGTGCAGAGCAAAAGAGGAAATAGAAAGTGTTGTCATGTCTCAGATGACACGATAGCACTATGTGTGGTTTTCTATGTGTGTTGACAAAGCTATTAAACGGCGGAACATTTTTGCCGAAGCTGATTCTCTCCCAGCTCCTGTGAGCGGCACGGACATTAGAGTGGGTTAGACTCCAGTGAAGAGCTGCTGAGAGAGCTGTGTACTCAGTGTGGTATACAGGGCTAGTGTAGTGCTGGGTGTGGAGCTGTCAGTGTGCTGTGAACTCAGTTGTTTTACTAGTGAGGATGTTGCTGACTTTTTATCTTCTCTTCATCGGGCTACACGTCTGTGAAGGTGAGTAATTTTTTATTTTCTTATTTTTTAGCTTTTTATGGTCAGTTTTCTGGACTGAGATGAGCCTATTGATAGACTACACTTGCCTTTCAAAATATGCGTAGAGTAACAAATGAGATGTGTGAGAGAGTTGTATTGTTGGGGAAGCTGAAGGTCAGCCATAGCATAGAAATCCCAATTCAGGAGACAAGTAGGCATTTACACAGTCGAGCATAGTATAGAAAACACAGACTTCAGACAGATTAACTGCATTAGATAAATGCCAATAAGTAAACAACTAATAGAGGAGCATATATAAAGGAGATAATGAGTCCAGAAAATGAGCTGCTCATGAGGCCCAAGAGGGGCAGTTTGTGACAGAAACCCTCCCACTAAAGGACAGCTCAGTACAACAGAACAGGGGGGACCCACCATGTAAACCTGCTGGAGACTGGTCAAAAGGCTGCTGTGGTAGCTGGGGCAGATAGACAGAAATGGTTACATTACTGAACATGGGTCAGGGAGAGGGTTGGGGCGGACCCTGGGTCAGGGAGACCATCAGGGCAGAGCCCAAATGTGCTGGGTCAGCCACAGAGACAAGCTGAGTAGGAGACTGGGACACCAGCACAGGAATATGATGGGGCACTAGCACTAGAGAAGTATGTGACATAATCTGGAACAAGGCTTAGTATCTGTCCAAGAAAATTAAAGCATAAAGTTAAAAAAAAAATAAAGTTTCAAATGTGCATGTCACATGTATTAATTTATCTGGACAAAATTTGCTAGAATATTTTGAAACATTATTTTGAAGCATATTATTGTTTCCAAAAACTGTTATTTGTAAATAGTTATAGACAGATTTTTTCTGATTTATGTAGAGGTGGCATATTAGGATGATTGTTTTTTCAAAGAAAATATATTGGTCTCTTTTTTGACTTTGATTTTATTATGAATTTTCTTATTTGAATTAAAAAAAAATTTCATGCATTTTAAAACAGCAAGAACATTAGACAGTGGGAGCCTGTGATTACTGATGTGTGTTTCTGCAGGCTGCACTCTGGAAAGTGAAGGAAAACCATTAGATATCACAGCACGTACAGTAGAGTCAGTACTGTTGCCCTGCTACTGCACTGACCGCATCCCATCTGATACATTCACCTGGGAGAAACAGAACACAAAGAGCAACAAGTGGGAAGTGGTGTCCAGTGAGAGTGGTCAGTACAGAAACAGAGTTCAGCTGGTTAATGGTCACTCTCCAGGAAATCTCTCTCTACTCATATCAAACCTGACTGAAGAGGATGGAGGAGATTACAGGTGTGAAGTTAAAGGGAGTGGATACACAGACATCAGACTCACTGTTAAAGGTAAAACACTATTCTGAACTTTTATTTTAAGTGCAATGCACATCTCAGAACTACATCTAACTCTTGTGTAGCCTTAACATTTTGTACACTCCCCCTGTCCTAAGGGTCAAAAATGACCCGTCTTCACTATACCCCTTAAATATAGCCGATTAATTGAATTTTATATCCTAAATCTTTTTTGTATAATGGAACAACTTGTCAGTCATTACAAACTCTCTTTACTCAGTGGCATTGTTGCACAGAAAAGAGCTAAATTTCACTCATAATCTCATTTTTCCACTGTATGTGTGTGTGCGTGTGTGTGTGGGTTTGTAGTTTTGTAAAAAATATTTTATGACTGTTGGATCAAAAATGACCCCTGAGACAACCTTTGTACCCTGGTGATGTACAGTTTTAATAGAAATATGAACAAAGGCAGTGTTTCACTATTTCAAAGACATTAGAGTGTGGTCACTTCAGAGAAGTCCTACTGAGAGTGCTCTGTAGTGAGGGTGTGCATACAGTAGTATATAGAATTTCTCTTCTTTCTCATGAAATGTAAATTTATGTGTTAAAAAATATTGAATAAAGTGGTGGACAGAAATAAAGTACTCTCAAATTTGCCTGGTTTTCATTCCAATGCTTTCTGCATTTTGTGTCATTCACTATTGTTCTAAATTGAGCCTCAACTGGATCACCTACAACATCTGACACAGTGTGACGCTTTCAAACTAAAGCGAACTGATCATAGTGCACTTTAACTGACCCCTCAATACTGACTCAAAAGCCCCTGGAAAAAAGTTGGGTAATACTTTATTAGGATAGCCCATTTTAGATGCTTTGTAGATGCTTCATTTCCTTTCAAATTACATTCAACTAAACATCTACTAAACTGACCATGATTTTCTTTAACTCTAATCCTGGCTCTAATCCTGACCCTAACCTTAACCTCAACCCAGAACCTAAACCCAACCCTCACCCTGGTCCTAGCCCTAACCCTGGTCCAAATCCTAACCCCAACCCCACCACTGTTTAGAATCAGAGTTTTAAAAGATAGTTTGTTAACAATTTGAACATCTGTAGATAATATATAGGGGCCAATAGGGGACTATCCAAATAAAGTGAGAACAAAGGTCTTACCTTAATTTACATTTATATCTAAGATCATTTTTTCTTTTTTTGTGTAAAGTAACCATTTTGGAGATGGAAGCTTTTGTTCTGACACAAACATGCTATTTATCTGCCCAAATCCAGTTTTATATATAATATTTAGAGACTGTTCTGGTTGTTATTGTTGCTGTTGTTGTTACAATTGTTTGCTGTTTGTGTTTTCTAACATTACTTTGCCTCTCCTTACTTTACTGATGTGTGTTTCTGCAGGTTGCAATCTCGAAAAGATTGAAACAACCCAGACTGCCACAGCACATACAGAAGAGTCAGCACTGCTTTCCTGCTACTGCACTGACCTACTCACCAAACCTGAGAGATTCACCTGGAAGAAACTCAACACGAGCACAGACATATATGAAGAGATATCCAGTGAGAGTGGTCAGTACAGAAACAGAGTTCAGCTGGTTAATGGTCACTCTCCAGGAAATCTCTCTCTACTCATATCACACCTGACTGAAGAGGATGCAGGCTATTACCTGTGTGAACTCACAGGAAGTAAACGCACATACGTCAAACTCACTGTTGAAGGTAAAAAAGAGGTTATTTTAACACTACTATGGAACATTTATGGTTCTGTTCTACAGAGAGTTAAACACTGTTAATAGAGTTAAATTTTCAGTGTTAACATCACTAAACAGTGTTAAAAGACTTCACCACTCCTGTTGTTCCTACTCCAACAACAGATGTTCTACTGATTGTCAATCCAACTCTATTTGAGAGAATAGCACTAAAAACTGAGATTTTGAGATCAGGTTAAATTTGATAAAACAAACCTATGCAAAGTGAGATCAGCAAATAACAACAAATAATCACAATCTTGGCTGTCAACCATGATCAAGTAATGGCTTATATGTGTCCCACAAAGTAATGTTAATATATTAATTAATAGTGAAGAACGTTTAATACCTAATTAGTTCATAATTAGTCAGTTATAGATTAAACATCTACTAGACATCTTATACAATATTGTTATTACACAATGTTACCCAGTTCTCTATCTTTGATCACATTATATGGTGACAGTGCATTTAATCCTTAACATCACCTTCAATGAGTACATTTTAGAGGAAGTAAAGATAGCTTTAATGTTACTGTATATCTACAATGAGCTGTTTGTTAATGTTCTGTTTCTGCACTGAATATCAAACCTTCTCTCACTACAGGGGGCTCAACTAAAACCACAGTATCTACTGCAATCACAAATTCCTTGCAAACGCCTAATAGTAAGTAGAGCTTACTCCAGTTTTTATGTTTCAGTGGGAATGATTTTTATCGTCTCACAACTTTTTGCAAAATACCCATAAGTCAGTTTATTTACAGCTCTGCACAAGAGAAATATTGCTCATTAATTCATTGTACATTATTGCTGTATTCAAGCATCTTTCCCTCTCTCTCTCTCTCTCTCTCTCTCTCTCTCTCTCTCTATCTCACACACAATAAAAAAAATATAAATAATATATATATATATATATATATATATATATATATATATATTATTACTATTTTTTGTGATATATATATATATATATATATATTATTACTATTTTTTGTGATATATATATATATATATATATATATATATATATATATATATATATAATATATAAATATATATATATATATATGCCCCCTGTTTCTGTTTTCTTACACACAGGTACTGCGTCTCAAACTCCCAGTACGCATTTCTCCATTGTTATTCCTGTTCTTCTCTTGCTGGGACTTCTCCTGCTGGGAGGAGTCGTCTACTGGAGATACAGAGGTAAACACAGACACACAGAATAATACACAGATACACATACACATATACACAAAGACACACTCACACACACACACCGAACACATAAACATACACACATAGAGGGCATACACACACAAAACACATACCCGCATATACAACACCTACACACACATACACAGACACACTGAACATACCAAACACACGCGTGTACATAAACACACACATACACACTCACACACACATACAGAACACATTCACACAAGTACATAGAACACATACACACATAGAGGGCATACCTACACATACAAAGAACACACACTCAGACACACAAAGACAGACACATGGAACACATAGAAAGCACACACACTCTCTCTCTCACATACACACACACACACTCACAGAACACAGACACACATACACACTCTCAAACACACACGTACATACACACAGACACACACACTCAAAGCACATAAACACTATAACACACCCACACAGAACACTCTTTTGAGACACGTGTGTTAGTCTCTTTCTGTGTGGTTTTACTCCACAGGACAGAGACGAGGAGAGACGGAGAGTGGAGTACAAAAAGGGGTGGAGGGAGAGCAGGAGACACAGGTCTGTTCATACATTTCATTGTATCCATCACATCCCGTCATATCCCTTCACATGTTATCTCATCCCATCACATCTCATCACATCCCATTATATCCTATCATCTACCATATCAACTTGAATCACATTATGATGTATCACATCCAATAATATGCCTTAAATATCATCATAACCCAGCATGTCCCCATATCCCATTACATCTAGCCATGTCCCAGCATATCCCTTCACATACTATCTCATCCTGTCTTGTTTCATCACATCCCATTACATCATATCCCATCATATTCCTCCATATCACCTCAAATACTAGAATAATCTATCACATCGCATCATAATTTATCAAGTCTTATCACAACCTAGCACATCCCATCCCATCACATCCCATCCCATCCAACCATATCCCATCATATCCCCTCACATCCCATCAAATCCCATCATATCATACCTTAGAACCATTATGATTAAAAACTGATGGAAATTCCTAATGAGAATTGGGTTAATGCTAACAATTAAAGACCACTAGTTTCAGGTAGTTCCTTTAGATCTTGTTAGAAACTATCAAATGCTTCTAGAATCTGTTATAGGTCACCTGTTAAACTATTAGAATCTATTACATTATAATATATTTGTATTTCTGTCCCATCACATCTTATACACAGTCCCAAATGGGAACAGGATTAATGGTTAACCTTTGAAACCCCTAGTTTCCTGTAGAACATCATTAGATCCTATTAGAAAATCATCAAATGCTTTTAGAATTAGTCATATGTCACCTGTTAAACCATGAGGATCCATTACATTGCAATATCAACCCATCACAAAAAAAGTGTCGTTGGTGTGTGTGTGTGTGTAGTAACATTTGTGTTCTCTCTGCAGGATCAAGTAACATACTCTACTGTAGCTCACAGTAACAAAACCATCACACCCACTGCAATTCATACTGAAGATATGACTGAATATGCCTCCGTCAGAGTGAATTAATAACACCCACCTCCCACCTTCACCATAGGTATATATATATATATATATATATATATATATATATATATATATATATATATATATATATAGCTGTTGTCAGAACAAAACCTTGTATCTCCAAAGTGGTCACTTTATATATATATATATATATATATATATATATATATATATATATATATATATATATATATATATATAACTAACTATATTGTGCTTTTTTGTTTGAGTTTCAACTGAACTTAAAATAAAGAAAAATAAAGTTTTTTTTCATGTTCAGTATTTTAATTTGTGCACACATTGGCCTGATTTCCTGGACATGTGTTTTCTGGACATTAAGCCTATTCTTGAAATAATTTGTAGCTCTTCCTCAAATGCATACAAATGAGGAAGTGGAGCACATTTTGCTTGTTTCCAAGCACATGACTAAAAAATGTGCATTTAGGCTTGTTTCATGCATAACATGCAGACAAAATGTGTCTGATTTCCACTTGAAAATGCTGCAAAAGGTTTAGCACATTGGGCTCTGAGTGCACCCACTGGTCACATTATTAGACACACTTACCTTGATATGACACCCTGTATGTCTGTATGTCTGTATGTCATCTGTTGATTTGAAATTTGAAGCCACAGTCTAACCTCTCTGCAGTGGCCAGTTTCTGACCACAGGTCCACTGGTGGCTTGAGATTTTCAGTTAGCTGCAACTCTAAACCCAACAGTGATACTGATACATGTAAAAATACCAACAACACTTTATACCAGCACCTCACACAGGTCAGTGTCAGTGCTGTGCTGAGAATGGTCCACCACTCAGATAATATCTGCTCTGTGGTGTTTCTATTGATTGATGTGGTAGAGGGGGTTGATAGGTTGTACAAGAGGTGGGCTACCGTCAGTAGTTGTAAACCTGCAAAGTTCATCTACTGTAAATGGTAGCTATTTCTAATAAATTGGCCAATGAGTGTGGCTATGTGTAATGGTTTCAGATGTCATAGCTTAAACCCCACCCACCACACCACATACCCCACCTACCATACCACATCCTCTGCATACACAGTGACTTGGCCAGTATGGGTGTGTGTAGCGTGAAATGATGCACCACAAAAAAGGGGAATCTGCAAGTTCTGCAACCAATCAGATTACTCCACTGTACTTTGGATTCTCAGAAAGTGGCTGATGAAACATTTAAATAACAAGACAGTTTGTGGAAAATAGATTCTCTCCCAGCTCCTGTGAGCTGCACGGACATTAGAGTGGTTAGACTCCAGTGAAGAGCTGCTGAGAGAGCTGTGTACTCAGTGTGGTATACAGGGCTAGTGTAGTGCTGGGTGTGGAGCTGTCAGTGTGCTGTGAACTCAGTGTTGTTTTACTAGTGAGAATGTTGCTGACTTTTTATCTTCTCTTCATTGGGCTTCATGTCTCTGAAGGTGAGTGTGACTTTTTTTTTTATTTTCTGTTGTTACTCAACAGGTAAATGTAAAAAAAAAATCAAACAATTTAGCCTAACATATCCAAAAGTAGGGCTGTAGTCTCTGACTCAGATGTATTTTTAACATCTTGGACTTTTCTTGGTCTCAGCCATCGGTCTTGCCAAATTTATTTAAGTCCAACTACTTTCTTTAATGGCCACAGGTCCACACTGACTTGCACGCAGCAGCTCAGGGGTTAAACTGGGCCAGAGCGAACCGGATCTTTAGTGTCTTTGGTTCGTCTCAGAGCTGAGCTGAGGTGCTGTAATGTGATGGAAATGTAAATTGTTTTGTAATGAAATCTTTATTTTTTTTATTATAAAGCATTGCTCCTTATAAGTATGTAATACTGGAAGGGGATAAAGACTAATTAAGGCCTGGTCTTAAAGAGATTTTTATTGGGTTTTGTTATTGAGCTGGTCTCGCTTTTATTTGAACTCATTCTTGACTCTTTTAGACTCTAGATCAGTCTTGACTAGTTATAGTCTTGACTTGTCTTGGACTCAAGAAAGGTGGTCTTGACTACAGCCCCGTCGACTATAAAAGTATAAAAAAAAACAAAACCCAAAAGTATAAAAAAGTATAATCACAATATCAGCTAATGCATGTACATATCTTACCTGCCTGTAGGCTGCGTTCTGGTAGACAATGCAACCACAATGCCTGTCAGAGCACACACAGGAGGGTCAGTACTGCTGTCCTGCTACTGCACTGACCTACACACCACACCTAAGACAGCATTCACCTGGAGGAAATACAGCAGAAACAGAAACACATAGCAAGAGATATCCAGTGAGAGTGGTCAGTACAGAAACAGAGTTCAGCTGGTTAATGGTCACTCTCCAGGAAATCTCTCTCTACTCATATCACACCTGACTGAAGAGGATGGAGGAGTTTACCAGTGTAGTACTAGCAAAAATTTAAATCTTTTCTTAGTTCTTTAGTGAAGAAAATGGTTCTATATAGAACCATGAATACTCAAAGAACCCTTTGCATAATTAATGAGTTCTTTGCATCATGAACAGTTTCTTAGGATTGATGGAAAGTATGCATGAATGTGCTATAGATGGTTCTTTATAGAACTGTTTTGAAAAGAGTTCTATATAGCAACCAAAATTGTTCTTCTATTGTTACAAGCTTGACATTGTAACAATAGAAGAACCCTTCTGGGTGCTATACAGAACAATTTTCCAAAATGGTTCTATATAGCACCATCTAAAACACATTCCCCATCAGTCTGAAGAACCCTTTCATGAGGCAAAGAACTTATTCATTATGTAAAGGGTGAGTGTTCAGAACCATTTTCTTTACTAAAGAACCCTTGAGGAACCATATTTTTTGAGAGTGTTTGATCTGATTTGACTACAGCACAGATTTTCAATTATAGGCTCATAATACAGTTAATGGTATTCATGTTTCTATGCATTTGCATTGAGCTGATCACTGCTGTTCTGTTGTTTCTCTCCATTCATGGGTCCCAATTACAATTGCAACATCTACAACAGTGGTAAATGGACACACCAGTCAAACGACGTTGTGCAAAATATCCTCTAAAAGAAAATCTGAAACCACAAAATCTACTGACATTGACAAAATCAAATGACTTCATCTGCAGCTGCTTCTGAAAGGCCCAAGGGTACACACAGCACACTGAAACTAATATTTTATGGCTTTAATGTGTTTTAAGGTTTTATTTTCAGAGCATTTTTCACATATTTCACATTTGTACAATAATACTCACCAACTAAACAACAATTAATTGCAATGGCATTTTCTCTCTGTCTCTCATTCTCAGTTGGAGCAACAACAATACTCTGATTTTACACCAGCTGGATTGATTATAAACTGCACTCATGTCAACAAAAAAGAAACAAATAAACATTAATTAAAAACTTCACATAAAACTTGTAAAACAATATAGATAACACATCTTGTTTCAGTCCCTCCACAGTCTCTGCCCTTCGTCCCCTTTGCCTTGGTGACTGTGATCTTCCTCCACATTATAGTAGCTGTGGTTTATCACACCAAGAGAAACAAAGGTACCAACTACACAATCAAGCAGCTGTAAACATACTAATTTTCATCTTTGTGTGAATTAATATGTAATTTTTCACCATCTTTTTCAGATCCTGCCAGAGTTCACCACAGCACTGCTGATGGAGATGGAGTGGTCAGTCTGGAGAAGGGCAGTGCTGTAACACTGGCCATTTAGCAGCACGCTCTTGAGTGAAATTGTTGCTGTTTGTATAGAGATCAGTCACACATCAGAAAACCATCTCTTTCACTTCTACTTTTTATTCATCATAAATTATCATGCAAGTAAACTGCAAACTGCGAGTGACACTTTATTTTGAGTGGTCTCTCAGTTACATATAAACATATCAATGATTAGTATATTACCAAGATACTTTTAATTGTTTATTTAACTAAAAATTGTTCATAATCTGCTGAATTCAGTTGTTTTTCACTTTATTTGGAGAGTCCAAGTTATCTGTAGACGTTTAACATGTAACAGGTTTAATAGAGACCATCTCAACATCCTCAACAATCAGATGCTTCACTAATGCTACTTTACTGATATGTTGTTAATGTGTTACTGATTATCTGTTAAGGGTTTATTAATCATCTACAAAGGACCACTCCAAATAAAGTGTTAACTAAACTGTTTTTTAAGACAATTTTTACTTGCTGTTTTAGCTCTTTCATCTCAAAATATGTATGAGCATTTGTTAATATTCAGAAAAGATGATATTGTTGATTACAGTAATATGCTGCTGTCAGTATGCAGTAAAAACTACATACTGTATACTATGTATATCACTGTTCTCGGACGAAAACCCCATATCTCCATTTTTGATGTTTTTCAGTTTTTGACATAATTTGAAAATGCTTGTTACCCTTTACAGTGTGTGTACATTTCATGATCAATGGACTAAAAGAAATCACCCAAAATTACTTGTAGAAAATTTTGGTTCCATTGACTTACATTAAAATTAAAGTATGTTTTTTTTTCCTTCTCATGTAAAGTTACTATTTTGGAGATACGAGATTTTCTTCCGACAACAGCGATATGTAAAAATATAGTTTTGTACGGCTTTAAAAATATATATAGTGTAATATATATTTAATGTAAGCAATTATTATGGTATAAAAGCTGTAAATATTAATTACAGTCTCTACCTGACAACTCTGCTACCTGTAAGTTATAGTAAATATACAGAGTAACATTTTGCACTGTACTGACAGATGTTTACACTGTCAGACTCATGTTTTGGTCACAGTAGAAATCCAAACTCTAGACTTAAACCTCTGCTACAGCTACTGTTTTGAGTCTGAACATAGAAATAGATCAGACATCCTCTTAAAATCTCACCATTAGCACAAAGTGCTAAAGAAATAAAGTATTGTGACCATAGAATGGAGGGTAGACAGTGCCTGAAAAAAAAAGAAAGAAAAAAAAAGTGTTATTTCTTTAGTTTTAAAAGCGTTTTAAAGCAGTTTTAAAAAGAAATCTCTGTGGTCTGTAGTCTGAGCTCATCTTCATGGTTAACTTCTAACTACTTCAAAATGTCAAAGTCTTGTATTCAAATACAGACTTTGGTTAATCAGTGTTTGAAAATGGATTTTAAAATCATCAGACTTCCTACATGGTATACAATTTATTATGAATAGAGAGAAAATGTAGCTCCATGAAGACAATTCTGGGGCATTGCAATGGTTTTCTATGGATAAGCTCTTAGCAACCTAAAAACATATACACAACAGAGTAGTGAGGTCACTGGTGCTATACGTCTGTTTTTTTATTGCAACACTGACTTTCCAAATGAAGATTAGAGGAACTACCTGAGGCCTACAATGTCTCTCCTGGAGGACCTGCAGGACTGGAGACCTTAAAGAAGACACTAGTGACAAACAACAGCTTAAAGCAGCCCAGTATTAGAGAAATAAACAAGCAAAGATATGAAAGAAGAACAAGACAGCATTTTAGTGTGGTAGACTGAGAATTAGAAATATTCTGTATTGCCAAATCATTGTCAAATCACTGTTGTGAAATATCTACTACAGAAACAGGAAAAAGAAACAGTAGACTCTTAAAAATGATCACTTTCCCAGAGTTATTTAATAAAGAAAATGGAACCATAAGATCTTCTTAAGCCACTTATCCTTCTGGGTTGCGGGGGGAGCTGGAGCCTATCCCAGCAGTCACTGGGTGGAAGGAAGGATACCATATAAAACACATTCTCTATAAATTTGAAGAATGCTTTAATGGCGCAAACAACCCTTAATCATTCAAAGGGTTCTTTCAGTGCCCATGGTTCTATATAGAACCATTTTCTGTACAAAAGGACCCTTGAAGAATAATCTTTGTTTTGTTTTTTTTTTTGTTTTGTTTTTTTTGTGTAGCGTTATTCCCATTGACTTTCTGCACAAATTGCAAGTATTTTTTAATCAATTAATTAGTTAAATTAGTCAATGAATTAATTATCCTTTTATCCTTTGGAAACGTTACATAAGTGTTGATGTTTCTCTGGAGCTGTTTCCATTCAGAAAGGCTGTAGTCTTTTCTGGACGTCTTCCGGATTATACAAGACATGAATATATCTATCTATATGTGTAGGTATAGTGGGTATATAGGTATAGTTTTGCTAGATAGAAGTTACAGTAAGATCAGTAAGCGGTGTGGATTGTCCATGGAGACCATCATGATGATGATATAAAAGAAGATGGTGTGCCAGAAAAGAGGAAACAGCAAGTGCTGTCATGTCTCAGATGACACCATGGCACTATTTCTGCGCGTTTGATGAAGTAAGGGCATTTCTGCTGAAGTACATTGTCACACAGAGTGAGGTAAACTCCAGTGTAGAGCCGCTGAGAGAGCTGTGTGGTATACAGGGCTAGTGTAGTGCTGGGTGTGGAGCTGTCAGTGTGCTGTGAACTCAGTGTTGTTTTACTTCTGAGAATGTTGCTGACTTTTTATCTTCTCTTCATTGGGCTTCACGTCTCTGAAGGTAAGAGGTTTTACATTTATGCTATAAGCCTTGTAGGGTTAATTTGCCAGAGTGGGATTAAGCTCACTTCCTTTTAAAATGCTGTGTAGTCTAGGTCTAAGTTTATACTAGGAAACCCATTAATATGTGTAATTATTCACCCTTAATATGTGTGTCTGTAAAAACGTATCATTTCCAAACAATGATTTATAAATAGTTGATATTTGTAAATTGTTACAGACATACAGGTATGTTTGTGCCCTTTTTTATATGAAGATGGTTTAGTAGGTGATTGATAGCAAAGAAACCATATGACTTTATAAGATATATATCAAATTTTATGTATTTTAAAACACTAAGAATATGAGACAAAAGCAGTGAGTGATTAACCTAATCTTACCGATGTATGTTACTGCAGGCTGCACTGTGGAAAGCAGTGGTGAAACATTGTATATCACAGCACATAAAGGGGAGTCAGTAATGCTGCCCTGCCACTGCACTGACCTACACCCCACACCTCAGAGATTCACCTGGAAAAAATACAAGACAAACAAAAACAAAACCACATGGGAAGTGATATCCAGTGAGAGTGGTCAGTACAGAAACAGAGTTCAGCTGGTTAATGGTCACTCTCCAGGAAATCTCTCTCTACTCATATCACACCTGACTGAAGAGGATGGAGGAAGTTACCAGTGTAAAGTCAAAGAGAGTGGACACATCTTCATCAGACTCACTATTGAAGGTAAAACACTTCAACTGCAAATCTCAGAATGTAGAAAACCAACTCAATCCACTGACATTAGAGTGGGGAGGACCATATACAGTAGATTTGGTGTCTTTTCTTTTTAGAATTTATGCTCTTCATTTTCTCCTGATTGTGCTTTATTCCATAGAAAATGATAGAATGTAAATTTATGTGTAAGCCTGAAATTATCTAGGGATATTGTTTGCAATTATAGGGCTGTTTCTTGGTTATTTAACTCATAATTTACCCAAACCCAGTGGTGGACAGTAGCAACTTCTGTTAGATTTGATTAGATCTGGTTTTCACACCACTATTCTCTGCAGTTTGTGTTATTCCTCATTACTCTGAATTAGGCCACAACTGGATCATCTAAAGCCCATGTGTCAAACGATCAGATCAGGCCCATGACAATATCCAATCCAGCCAGCAAAAGTATTTTCATTTTCTATTAATATTAGCCTGTTTCACAATGCGCTGCACTACAGTCCCCAGCATGCACTGCAACATAAAGTGCACTCTGACTCTCCTACCCCTAATAATCTGTGGGACAGTGGTTACATATCAGTTCTACACAATTCTACACAAGTCCACACCAGTTACATCACCAAACGGACTTGCTGCATTTCAGCTGCAGTTCAACCAATATAAACACCTAACACTAGTTCAGCAGCTCAGAAATTGAGCTTGTCTTGATGAACTTGCAGCAAAGGATGCCAGGTGTCTTGTTCCAGCATATAGGTAGGTTTAAAAGACCGAGCACCTGGGGACATTTACATTTTGAACATTTCAAGTATTCATGTAATATTTCAAGGTTTTTGCTTATTTTGAATAAATAACGGCCAGTTCGGGTTATAGCTCAACATTTACTAAAAATGAAATAAAAACTTCTTTTTTTTCTCTGGCCCATATATTTGTTGAGATTTTTTAATATAGCCACTTTAGTGGTCGAGTTTGATGACCCTGATCTGACTGATCGTAGAGCAGTACACCTTTTAATTGACCCCTCCACTAAATACTGATTGCCTGATGGTACTATAACTTTGTACAACCCAACCAATGAGAGGGAAAAAATCCTGGTTGTACAGGATTTAACCCTATTGTTTTCTGAAATCTTAACAAAATAAGAGTAGTACTACAATTCTAGCACATTTTCAAAACATTATGACTCTTCCAAGTGGCGCAACCATCTTCATTGGCCCTATCACATCAGGAGATTGTGAGATCCATCCTCATTGGTGCTACAACTGGCTTAGTTCTCTTTAGGTGGGTACGACAGCAACATCTCCCCATCAATCAGCACAATGCTAGCACAAATGACTGTTAGCTGACATAACAAAACTGGTTGTTATTGTTCAGCTGTCCAATGACATTATATTAGCAGCAGTTCGAAAAGATGCAATGGCCAGCTTCACATGACTCAAAGCAAACTTGTATTTGCCTTTGCCCCTTTAGCACTGGTGGTATCATGCAACTGAGGGAGTCCTAACTAGTGGGTGGAACTGGATGTGACTAAATTGGGGGGGAAATTGCAAAGAATCCCAAAAATATATATAAAAATGATTATTATTATTATATTAAATTAACATGAATTAAGAAATACAGACATTTTTTTTTTTTTTATTTCAAAGAAATTCTCTGAAGTCCTAAAAGGCCCTAAAGTTTCCACTCTGTTAACAACTCAAATTAGTCAGAGTACTTTTGATATTCTGGTACATTTAAAAGCAATTACTTTTGTACTTCAATTCAAATGCAAATAGAAAATGTGGACTTCTACTTTTACTCAAGTGCAGTATATAAGTTTTGTCAATCACTGCCCAAATCCAGTATCATCAACATCATACATCAAACCTTTAATGATGTTTAAGTTGTTGTTGATATTTTTGTTACAATTACTTGCTTTCCATGTTTGCTCATAACATTGATTCTCCTCACCTGACTTTACTGATGTGTGTTTCTGCAGACTGCACTCTGGAGAAGAGTGAAGCACTACTGCGTATCACAGCATGTACAGGAGGGTCAGTACTGCTGCCCTGCTACTGTACTGACCTACACACCAGACCTGGGAGATTCACCTGGAGGAAATACAGCACAAACAGAGATACATATGAAGAGATATCCAGTGAGAGTGGTCAGTACAGAAACAGAGTTCAGCTGGTTAACGGTCACTCTCCAGGAAATCTCTCTCTACTCATATCACACCTGACTGAAGAGGATGGAGGAGATTACAGGTGTGACCTCACAGGAACTGAAGGCACAGACATCAGACTCACTGTTGAAGGTAAAACACTGTTTAGATCTGTGTTCCTACATGTCTAGTCCAGATTTAGTCTACATGTCTCTGCTCTCTAGAATTGATCACCTTTGACTACAGCACTGAGCTCTAAAGATCAGGATTTTGAATGATATGATTGCACCACAAGTGGTGTTAATGTTATGATGTATATACTATGTTTAAAGAGCTGTATCAATGCTGCAACACATAATTGTATTCAATAAGAACGGTCATGTCTTTTTGCAGAATCTCCACAGTCTCTGCCCTTCATCCCCTTTGCCTTGGTCACTGTGATCTTTCTCCACATTATAGTAGCTGTGGTCTATCACACCAAGAGAGGTACTAATTCTATAACTAAGCTGTTGTATATATAGTATTTTCTGTGTGTGTGAATGAATGAACATGTTTTTTTTTCTTTTTTTTGGGCAACGTCTTTGTCAGATCTTACCAGAGTTCACTACCGTAATGATGGTGGGGATGGAGTGGTCAGTCTGGAGTAGTGCAGTTCTGCATACAGTTCTTCTGGCTGGACACAATGTTTCGATGTGTTACAATGCTGGCTGAAATAAAGCAGTTGTTCTTCTTCTGCTTATTATTATTATTATTATTATTATTAATAGTAGCAGAAGTGGCAATAAATAAACAATATACAATATTAATAACACTGCAACAGTCTTAGGCATTTAAGAAAATGATATGTTAGCTGTGAAACAACATTTAAACAAGTAAACAACAATTGCTGTACAATTGTAAGCAACGGTTGTTTAAACAAGTAAACAACAATCAACAAACAACAAACTTTTTAATAAAAACAAGATGAAATGATTGTGATTTGATGTGAGTGAGTGTGTTATCTTAACCATTTTCAAAGCTCTCCTTGATGGAGATCTAATCAGTCCTCCATTAAATGAAATCAGATGATGCTGGTGGAAGTTACCAAATCCATGCGATGCTCGAGGTGAAGCTAGAAGTCAGAAACCAGCCCAGTGTTCTTTTAACTGTATTCTTCCAATCAGTATAATAATTCACTGAAAACAAGACGTTCTTGTTACATTTTACTTTATCGATTTTATTTGCATGTATTGATAATATTATATAGTGTTTTACCAGGAACAAAAATTATGGAATTGTGCCTTGATCACAATGTTGTTTCTGTATGTCCATACTGAGGAGTACTTCTGATGTATTTGTGAAGTATATCACTACTGTGGGAACAAAACCTTATATCTCCATTTTTGGCATTTTTCAGTTTTTGACATAATATGAAAATGCATGTAGTCCTTTATGTTGTATGTAAATTTCATTATGAAAGGACAAAAGAATCGGTCTGGTTCCACTGACTTACATTAAAAGTAATGTAGGTTTTTTCCTTTTCCTGTAAAATGATCATTTTGGAGATATGAGGTTTTGTTGCAACAGCAGCAATAAACTAAAACCCCAATTCCAAAAAAGTTGGGACGCTGTGTCAAATCGGAATAAATGTAAATAAAAACAGAATGCAATGATTTGAAAATCTCATAGACCCATATTTTATTCACAATACATCACAGAACACATGTCAGATGTTGAAAGTGAGATAATTTAACCATTTCATGAAAAACTTTAACTCATACAGAACTTGATGGCAGCAACGCATCTCAAAAAAGTTGGGACAGGGGCAACAAAATGCTGGAAAAGTACGTGGTACTAATAAAAAACAGCTTGAGGAGCAATTTGCAACTAACTCACATAACCGGGAAAAAAAGAGCATTTGAGATAGGCAGAGTCTCTTTTTAGAAGCAAAGATGGGCAGAGGTTTACCATTCTGTGAAAAACTGCATCTAAAAATTGTGGAACAATTTCGTAAAAATGTTCGTCAATGTAAAATTGGGAAGACTTTGGATATCCCACCATCTACAGTACATAACATCATCAAAACATTCAGAGAATCTGGAGAAATCCCTGTACACAAGGGACAAGGCCGATGGTCAATCTTGGATGCTCATGATCTTCGAGCCCTCAGGCGGCACTGCATCAAAAACAGGCATGATTCTGTACTGGAATTCACTGCATGGGCTCAGGAAGACTTCCAGAAATCATTGTCTATGAACACAGTTCACCATGCAATTCATAAATGCAAGTTAAAGCTGTATTATGCACAGAAGAAGCCAAATATCAACAGGATCCAGAAACACTGCCATCTTCTCTGGGCCAAAGCTCATTTAAAATGGACTGAGGCAAAATGGAAAACTGCTCTGTGGTCAGATAAATCAAAATTTGAAATTCTTTTTGGAAACCATGGATGCCGTGTCCTGCAGACTCAAAAGCCTGCATCTCTGACGGTATGGGGCTGCATTACTGCCTATGGCGTGGGCAGCTTACACATGGCACGATCGATGCTGAACAGCATCTAGAGGTTTTAGAACAACATAGGATGCTACACAATGGTAGACACGGCCCTGTCTCAACTTTTTTGAGAAGTATTGCTGCCATCAAGTTCTAAATGAGTTAATGATTTTCATGAAATGGTTAAATGTCTCACTTTCAACATCTGATATGTGTTCTATGTTCTGTTGTGAATAAAAAGGGGTCTATGAGATCCCCAAATCATTGCATTCTGTTTTTATTTACATTTATTTACATTTTAAATAGCATCCTAACTTTTTTGGAATTGGGGTTGTACCATTTGTCACAAATTTTTGACACCCCTGTATTTATTATTTTGTGCTACCTTCCTTCATAAACATAAGAGTAAAAAGTCTCGATGAATACAGAGCAAGAAATCTGAGAACCAATAAAGAATCTCTCCAGATCCTCCACAGTCTTAGGTTCTGTCTTTAGGACTCTCCTCTTCAGCTGTCCTCACAAGTTTTTAAAGGTGTTTAGGTCAGAGTATTGAGTTGGTAAAATAAAAAGCTTGATTTTGTAAATATTAGAACTTTTTTTTTGTGTGTGTGAATTTGTATGTATGTTTTGGGTCATTATCCTCCTTGAAGATATGACCACAACCCAGTTTTAACTTTTAAGCAGAGGCAGACAATTTTTTTACATTTTAAATCTCCTGGCACTTCATGGTGTTAATGAGACAGTCCATCCTAACAAGATTTCCAGGGTCTTCAGAGGAAAAAAAGCCCCAAAACATCACATTTTAATCCTTTCTAAACAGTTACGCACACACACACACACACACACACACACACACACACACACACACTTACTTCTCATGTCTGGCCATGATTTACAAAATGTTGCTATGAATCAGAGGACAAGGCATCTGACACAGAGGACAATGTTGAAATCAATTCACAGCATGAGGAATTGTCTTCTGATGAGGAAAAACTTGTGCAGCACCGTGCTGAAAGGGAGGCGTTCATGTCAAAAAATGCAAACAGCATGGTCTTCACCTCTTTCTAAAATCCGGGGCACAAGGGCACCTCAATATAAAATCAGATTGACCCCATGGCCCACAGGACTAGCACTGACAACTGTTAGAGTTTTCTTCACCAAAAAATGAATCAAACTTGAACAAAACTATTTTTTGGTTTCATTTGTGACATAAGAGTCAATTTTGACCCATAACATACAAAAATATTCATTATGTCACCAACACAAATATCTCTGATGTACATACATGCAAGAAAGAGATAAAATCAAATAGAATATAAGTTTCATCCAAAATGACAGTTTAAACCCAGAAAATGCTTTAACTGTGATTAATGTACTGTGTCAACACTTTGTTATGACTGCGAGCGACAGAGAGCACGTCACTGCGAGCGACAGAGAGCAGCACACCTTAGAACTTCAGACCAAGCAGCGTCCAAACCTTACTTGAAAATTAGTTGAAAATTCTGCAGTTAGCAGGTCGCAAACCCCCTCACGTCTCTCCTTCTTATTTTTGTCTCCTCCCTCTCTTTTTTCTTTCTATCTCTCTCACAGTTATTCCCTCAGCCCCTCCACCATGGCGTCCTCCCAGGAACGCGCCCTCCAGACCCTGAGCGCAGAGTTGGCCCGGCTGGATCGGCAGATCACCGCCCTACTGAAGAAGCAGGACGAGCTCCTTCGGCAGAAGTCGAAGCTCGAAGCCGCCCGGGAAGTTTCCCCCTCGGTGGTGGCGCCAGCGTCGTCTTTCCGCGCGCCGGGAGACGCCGTTCTCACGCCAGCCCCGCATGGTCCCTGGGAACGCCAGCGCCGCAGAGGGCCCTGCAGACCCACACCGCCGCCCCAGCCGATCTTCGCCTCCGGAAACCGTTTCGCCGCCCTCAGTACACCGCATACGCCCTCACCTACGTCCCGGGCCTCCTCGCCGCCGCCCGCCCCAGCGCCCCGGACCTCGTCACCCGCCCCAGCGCCCCGGGCCTCGCCGCCCGCCCCAGCGCCCCGGCGCTCTTCACAGGACTCCGTTTATGTTATTGGTAGTTCTATTGTCCGCCACGTTCAAGTAAAGGTTAGAAACACCCATGCCACTGTCTCCTGTTTTCCAGGTGCTCGTGTCTTAGATATAGCCAAGCGCCTCCCCTCGGCTCTCAGACGAAACGCCTTCGGGACCGTGGTGATCCATGTCGGGACCAACGACATCCTCGACCGTCGTAGCGAGGTCCTGAAGGAGCACTACCAGACGCTGCTGGACACCGCCAGGAAGAAGACGGACGCCAGGATCGTCATCTCCGGACCGCTACCCACCTACAGGAGGGGATCCGAGCGGTTCAGCAGGCTCTTCGCGCTGCAGTCCTGGCTCCGCGGATGGTGCGCCCTCAACGGCTTGACCTACGTGGACAACTGGGCCTCGTTTTGGGAACAGCCGGCGCTCTTCCGGAGGGACGGCCTCCACCCTAGTCAGGTAGGATCTGTTGTTCTCTCACGGAACATTGAGAGGGCCATCCGCTGACTACACAGCGAAGGCCACGTAAGTAGCGGCAAAGATAGAAACGCTACAGCTCATAATGCTAGTGTTAGCACTGAGAATAAAACGATTATTAGCACCAGTTGCGTCGGACCAGTTGCGTCACCTAGGTTCCACTGTATTGAGACTGTGTCTCTGCCCCGAATTAAATCTAAATCTAAACGCAGAATAACTCAATCAGCCCGTTTCGACAACCTGATCAATATTAAATCATATTCAGATGATAGCAGCAACACCTCAACTCTAAAATTTGGGTTACTCAATATAAGATCACTAAACTCAAAAGCAGTAATCATAAATGAATTTATAAGTGATCATAAATTTGACGTTTTTTGTCTTACTGAAACATGGGTTAGACAGGATGAATATTCAGCACTAAATGAAGCCACCCCTATAGGCTATAATTATGTACACAGCCCACGATTATCAGGCAAAGGAGGTGGATTATGTGTAATCTACCAGAATACTCTAGATATCAGTCAGAAACAATGTGACATCTTCACTTCTTTTGAGGTTCTCTCCATCAACGTTACTAATCCGGACACAAAAAAGAAGGCATTTTCATTATTTAACATTTATAGACCACCAGGACCCTACTCAGAATTTCTAAAAGAATTTAGT